AGGCCAATTTGGAGCATCCAGTAAAACGGGGGGAGCGGGGGGAGGCCGTCCTGATGGGATGGGACGAACAGACAATGTCAGCATGAGATTTCCTTTGGAAAAGTACCTAAATCCTCGGCAAATAAATGGAATAAACCCCCAAAGGCGGCTCGGAATACTTCTGTAACCTTGGCCATGTCTTTTCTGACCGTTCCCGGCTTGGAATTGGGGTGCTGGGCGGTACTGGGGATGGGGAGGGGGTTCTGGGGGCACAGGGGGCGTGTTTGGCTCACGGCAGTGACCTCTGCATCCCGGGATGTACGTGCAAGGGCTGGAGGGGATGGATGCTAAAGGGGTCCCTTGGTGTCCTGGAGGGACCCTGAAGCCCTGGACTCTGTCAGGGAAAGGACACGGTGACACTGAGGAGTGGCACTTGGGGACCGGTCCAGTGCGACCTCCAGTACACTGAGGATCTGGAGGGCAGATCTCAGAAGAAGTCTGGATTTCGCCCCCCAAAAAGACCTTTGTACCCCCAAAACGCCTCTTTTTCTCAGAAAGGGCTTTTTCTTCCTTCAAAAAAAGCCTTTTCTTTCCTCCAAGAGCAGCCATCTTTCCTCTAAAAAGGCCTTTCTTTCAAAAAAAGGCACATTTTTCCCCCAGAAAAGAACTTCTTTTTCTTCAAAGCACCAGTTTTATTCCAAAAAGTCCTATTCCTGTAAAGAACACTTTTTTTCCCCACAAAAGGTTTTTTTCCCAAAAAAATACCTTTTCCCCCCCCGCAAAAAAAAAAATTATTTTAAAAAAAGCACTTTTCCCACCAGTTTTACCCATTAAAGCCCTTTTTGACTTTATTTTTCTCACCAAAACCCACAGTTTTGTCGCCAGAAAAGCCTTTTTTTCCCAAGAAGTAGTTTTAAAAAAACCCAAAAAACAACTACTTTTCCCAAAAAATGCTTTTTTTCCCCCAAAAAACATTTTTGTTTTACTCAAGAAAAAGTATTTTTCTCTCAAGAAAAGTCTTTTCCAAAAAACCCTCTTCATTTCCCATAAAGTCCCCTTTATTTGCAAAACCGTTTTTTCTTGTAGAATGTAGTTTATTTGTAGAGCTCTAAAGTCCATTTTCTGCCTGTTCTTTTTCCTGTAAAATATCGACTATCTTGTTTTTTAAAAAAGCATTTGCTTTTTTCCAGAAAGCCTGTTTTTTTCAAGGAAAAAAGCCTCTTTTCCCCAAAGATTTTTCTTAAGAAAGACCACTTTAAAAAAAATTTAAAATGAAAGGTGTTATTATTTCTCTCAAAAAACTGTCTTTTTCTAAGAAAAAAAAAAAAGGGGGCCTTATTTTTAAAAAAAGTACCTTCTCTTTTTCATCATCTCCTTTTTCTCCTCAAAGGTGGTTTGTTTTTTTTTTTTTAAAGGGACCTTATTCCAGGAAAGGGTCCTGTTTTTTTTCTGCAAAACCATTTCTCCCAAGGGAAAAAAAAAAAAACGGGCCTTTTATTCCTGAACAACCTTTTGCAAATTAAAAAAAAAAAAAAAACAGCAACTATCTTTATACAGAAACCTTTTCTTTCCTAAAAATAAAAAATTCCGTTTTTTAATTAAAAAGTCTTCTTTCCTAAGAGCCTTGGGATTGGTGCGGTTCGGTGCCGGGCAGGCCGGATATGATCCGGCTCCACTCACATCAGAAAATATCCGGTCCCATTGTTCGGGGGAGCCGCGCCGTGTCCGTGCTTTGTTCCCTCGGGACCCCTTTGAATCCACGTAAATATTTGGAGAGCCCCAACGAGGGGGAGGGAGGACGAGGAAATTTTTCTCTCCCCCCTCCACCCCCCAACCTTTATTTTTTTGGGGCCAAATATGACTTTTTGTACCTTCGGACGGAAATTTCCGGCTGGAAGCCCAACCCTGCGCCTGGTGGGAGGCTGAATGGTCGCCCCGCTGGGTGTGAACAATACGTATTTGGGATGAAAAGCTTTTCCTGCCCGGCTCCCCGGAGCGATCCGGAATCGCACCGTGGCGCGGCGCCGGCGGGATGAGCGGAGCAGCGGCGCTCCCGGGGCTTGCTAGCTCTGCCATCTCGGCGGCTTCCATGGAGAGCCGGATCCGGGATGGCGGTGGGATGCGGGACAGGGGGTCCATTCCATCCGAAAATATTAGGGATCTGGGGATAAGGGGCGGGACATGGAATGGGGGACCCATCCAGAAACGATAGGGATCCAGGACTGAGGGGTGGGATGTGAAATGGGGATCCGTCCCATCCCATCCCAAATGAAGCCTCAGCTCCGGGATGAGGGATGCCAGTATTCCGTGGCCTCTGCGGTGGTTCCTAACCTCTGTCCCAGGTGTGACGTTGTCACCGGACGTGACCTTTTTGGATTGGAAAGGGCAGGATTTGGGCCATGCGCTGGTCTGAGGTGGTTGTGGGGAGGGTTGGTGGGGTGCTATCTGGGAATCTGGGATCCTACGAGGTCCTGGGGCAGGAAAGGGAAGAAGAAAATAAAAAACGGGGGAGGGCGCAAAAAGGGGAAGGGGGAAAATGGGAAAAAGAGGAAAAAGAGAGGGGGAATGAGGGAAAAGGGGGAAAAGCAGAGGATAAATGGGGGGAAAGGGAGAAAAGAGTCGAGGAAGAGAGGAAAAGAGGGGGGGAAAGGGGAAAAGAAGAAAAAAAGGGGGGAAACGGGGAAAGCAGGGGACAAGGGGGGATGACAGAACACTGGGAATAAAACGTGGGGAAGAGGGAAAAAAGAGAGGAAAATGGGAAGAAAGAGGGGGAAAACGAGGAAAAGTGAGGGAAAATGAAAAGAATGGGAAAGGGGATAAAGGGGAAGAAGGGCGTAAAGCGGGAAAAATGGAAAAATAAGAGGAAAAGGTGGTGGAAGGGGGGACAAACCAGAGGAAACAGAGGAAAAACAAGGGAAAGGGTGAAAAGGGGATGATAGGAAGGAAAAATTAGAGAAAACAGGAAAAAAGGGGAAAAGGGGGATAAAGAGGTGAAGCAGAGGGCAACAGGGAGAAAGAGGAGAAATGGGGGAGACAGAAAAAGCAGGGTGAAATAGAGGAAAAGAAGAGTAAATGGAGAAAAGGGTGGAAAGGAGGGAAATCCGCAGGGCAATCCGGGGACAGCAGGGAGAGCAGGGATGGAGAGGAACCGGCGGGACGCCCCCCCCCCCCCCCCCCCCCCCCCCGCGGGGGGCCCCCCCCCCCCCCCGCGCGCCCTCTGGCGGCAGCGACCGCGCAGTCCCCGGAGGGGTCGGGATGCGCTCCCAGAGCCCCCGGTGCCACTGCACAGTCCCCAGTACCCCACAGCCCGCCTCGAATCCCCATAGCTCCTCAGTATCCCCTGAGCCCCCAGAGCTCTCCCAGAGCCCCCAGTGCCACCCCATAGCCACGCCTATGTCCCCATAGCTTCCAAGTGCCCACACAGGCCCCCAGTATCTCCGCAGCCTCCAGTGCTCCCCATAGGCGCCTAGTGGCCCCATAACTCCACCCAGTGCCCCCATAGCTCCCTCCAGTACCTCCATATCCCCAAAGCACTCCCATATCCCCCCAGTATACCAATAGCTCACCCAGTGTCACCTAGGCCCCCAGTACTCTCAGAGCCCCCCAGTGCTCCCAAGGCCCACCAGTACACCCATAGCCCCTCACTGCCCCCTTGATCTCTCCCAGTGCTCCCAGCTGGATTCTCCGCGGTCCCTCACACAGCCATTACAGCCCCCCGCCACTGCTCCCTACGGCCTCCCAATTCCTCTCCTTGGCCCTTACAGCTCCCCAGTCTTCCCCAGTGCCCGCTCACATCCCCCACAGCCTCCACAGTGCCCTCACAGCCACCTAATAGGCCTTAGAGCCCCCTGGACTGCTCATAACCACCCCCCCCCGCCCAGTCTCCCCAGGATTCCACATAGCCCTCCCAGCGTCCCCAGTGCAGGGAGCAGATCCTGTCCTTGCACAGCCGGGTGGGCTGGGGACACCCCAACTGTCCTCAGGGGGGAAAGAGCCCCAGGTCGGAAGGGCTTTAGTAGCCACGAGTGACCCACTTGTGGGTGAGCCACAAGCCCCATGGTGATCCCTGAGAGCACTGGGATCTGTGCCACCCTTCCCCCGCCACCGCATCACAGCGGTCCCGACCCTCAGCATGCCCGGAGTGACACAGGAAACACTGGAGACCGGAGATCACTCCTGTACCGCAGCATCCGGCCGGCCGGCACCGGCCCTGAACACCCTCGCGGTGACCCCGGGTGACCACAGGAAAACCGGGGATCGGTGCCACCCCCTCCCCGCTGCAGCATCCCGTCGGTAACGACCCTGAGCATCTCCGGGAATATCCCTGGGGGAGCCCCGGTAGCTCCGAGGGCGGTGCTACCCACCCGTACCTCCTGCCGGTACCGCCCTGGGTACCGCGGGACCGACCTTGGGAAACACCGGGGACGGTTGTCATCACTCCCCCGCCAAGTCACCCGGCCGGTATATGCCCTCAGCATCCTCAGCTGAGGCCGGCGCCATCATCTCTCCAGTGCAGCATCCAGCCGGTGCCGGTCTTGGGGCAGCCCCGACGTGACTCCGAGCGACCCCAAGCAGAAGTGGGGACCCACGTCACCATCTCCCCGCTGCGGCATCCCGCCCATCCCGGCCCCCAGCATTTTCCGGGGTGACTCCTGGAAACACGGAGGATCAGTGCCACCATTCCCACTCTGTTGCATCCGTAACTGTACTGTTGCCAGTACTGACCCTTAGCATCCCCTGGGGTGACTCGGCATGGCACCAGGGACAGGTACCACCACGCTGCCTCCCCCCAGTATCGACGCTCAGTATCCCCAGGGTGATCCCGGGTGACCCCCGGCGGCGGCAGGGACCGGTGCTACTATCTCCAGGCTGCAGCATCCCGCCCTGAGTAGCCCCGGGGTGACTCCGAGCAACCCCATGCAGCAGCGGCGACCGGTGCCACCAACTTCACGCTGCGCTTTCTTGCCCGAACCGGTCCTCAGCATCCTCGGGGTGACTCTGGGTGATCCCCAGGCCGCAGCATGCAGCCGGGCCTGACTGTGGGCAGCCCGGTGATGACTCGTGGAATCACCGGAGACCGGATCTCCGCCGCTCCCCGCTTCCCCCCTACGCCGGCGCCGGCCACCTCCCCTCTGCGCATCCGCGCCCCCTCCTCTCTCCGTTGCTATGGCGACCCCGCTCACCGCCCCCCCCCCCGGGGTTGCCATGGCGAGCGTGAGCGGCTGGTGCGCGGTGCGGTGGGCGGGGCACGCGGGGCGGCGATTGGCCGGGTGGCCCCACGTGACGCGCGCAGGAATGCAAATGAGCGATGGCCTCGCGCCGCCGCCGCGCCGCCGCCTGAGGGAGGGAGGAGGGAGCGGGCCCGGCCCGGCCCCGCCGGGACCCCCGCACCCCCCGCGCCCTCCGCTCCGGGACCCCCCGGCGCCCCCCGGGCCATGGCACAGCCCGCCCGCCGCCGCCGTCTCGCTCGGCCCGGCCCGCAGGTACCGCGCGTGCCGCCGCTACCGGGCCCCGGCGGCTTTGTCTGGGCCGGGGGGGGCTCAGGGGTGGGGGGGAGCCGCGCATGCGCACCCGCCGTGCCTCAGTTTCCCCACCCGGGGCCGTGGTCCCCGCCGTTCCCCGCCCCCCGTGGGGCCCCCATTTCCCACCCCCACCCCTGTCTCTCCCCGTTCCCTTTCTCCTGTTCCTCCTTCTCTGGTTCTGGACTACCTTCTTCTTCTTCTTATTATTATTATTATTGCCCACCGCTCACCATCATATTCCAGTGCCCTCATGTTATACCCGGGATACTATATCTGACCCCCTTGTCTTCTATCCCACCCCTCGCCGTCATATCACACTCCCCATCTTCCACCCCCTTTTGTGATTTTGCACCGTTATTATTTTCACCCACCATCATCATGTTCCAGTCCCTACTATTTTATCTGGCCCCCTCTTTTCTTTCCTATCCCACCCACCCACTTATCATTCCCTATATCCTTTCCTGCAACTCTTTATTATTATTGCTCATCCCCAATCATATTCCAGTGTGTGCTGTTACCTCTGACCCCTATATCTGACCTCCCTCACTTCTATCCAACCCCTTCATTAGTGTTTTCCCCTCTTTTGCATTATCTTCTACCCCTTCCTCTGCTTTTGCTCCCTCTTACTATTATTGCCACCCCATCATCATTTTCCAATCTTTTATCTGACCCCCCTCTCTTCTATCTCACCTTCCCACCATATCCCACCCTTCACCAGCATCTTGCATCCCCCTTATTCTGAACCCCCATATTATTCTCCCTATATTGCTTCATACTGCTGCTTACTCTCCCATCTTCCCCCCATATCCCATATCATATACAATCTGTCTGTATCCCCATTCCATCCCATTCCTCCAAGGTTTCCCTACCCCCTCATCATTCTGCCATCCCCATTTTGGGCTCAGCTCAGGGAATTCCAACTCCCCAGCTCTTCCTATCCTGGCTGTGGGACCCCTCATGTTCCCCCACCCCAGTGGGTTCCAGCAGTACTCAAAATCTTCCCTTTTTATTATTTTGAGTGGGTGTAATGGTTTGGGGGGGCTTCGAGCAGGTTTATTCACCTCTGGGTCAAAAGTGAGGTATCCCCATCTGACACCTCAGATTCCCTGGTGGGGTTTGGTGCAGGTGAAGACAAGGGGCTTGGACCCACAATGGGTGGGAGCTGCTGGGGGCTTCCCGGGCTGTGCCCACCCCTGGGGCATTGACTCCAGATGGGCCTGGTGTGATCCCTCTGTGGCAGTCACTGTGGTGACCCCATGTCAGCTTGATGCCACCAGAGGGGAAAAAAACAGGTCCATGGCTGTAGGGTGGGAAAGGTGCTGCCGAAAACCTCTCTAGCTGATGGTGGACACACATCATGCATGCAGACAGGAGGATAGGAAGTGTCACAGGCCACATGTATTGCCACCGCCATGAACACATGGATGTCCCACCCTTTGCTTTGTGACAGTGGGATCTCAGGGGACAAAGCCCCATGGGCTACACGAGGCCAGGACGTCACTGCTGCCATGTCCCTCAAGTGCCCGGCTGGGGTGGCCTGTGCTGTGGTGTGGCCACCTAGACCACCCTCAGTGGCTGCTGTCCATAGTCTGCAGTGTGCCACACTGTTGTCCCTGGTGCTGCTATGGTGGCACTACAGGTGCTCACGTGACACGGGTAGAGTGCGGGGGTGGTGGGTGGCTATCAGTGACCATGGAGCCTCATGGCCACTATAGTGGCTGTGGTGACAAAGGTGCGGCCCACGAACCCCCCTCTCTGGCCCCCACAGCATTGTCCACATCTTCCTCCTGTCCTGTCGTGCTGTCCAACCCATTCTGCCATCCATTCATCCCTCTTCTTCCTTCCATCTACCTTTCCCCTCATCCATTTCCTCTGTTCATTCTTCCTTGCATCTCTGCATCCCTCTCCTATGTCCATCCAGCCTTTCTTCCATCCCTTCCTCCCTTTTGTGTCTTTTCATCTGTCCATACTTCCTCACTCCTGTCTGGTCTGTTCTTCCCTCCATCCCTTGGTCCTTCACTTTTTTTTTTCAGCATTTCCTTGTATCTTTGTATCCTTTCCTCATCCTGTCCATCTTTCTATCCATCCATCATTACTTCCTTCCTTCAGTTCTTAGAGTCATCATTCCATATGTCTGTCATTTCTTCTGTCTGTCCTCTTGTCCATCCTTCCTTCCATCCTTGATCTCTCCTTCCTTCTGTCTTTCCTGTCCTTCTTGTCTCTTCTTCCTTACTTACTTTTATCTGTCTTTACGTCCATCCGTCTTTCCCTCCCTCCTCCTATCTATTTTCCTTTCTGCCCATCCATCCTTCCGTTTGTCCCTCCCATTCCATCCGTCCTTCTGTCTATCCCTTTCCTTCTCCTGTTTGTAATTCTTCCTGTCCTTCCATCCTTCATCCCTTTCCTGCTTCCACCTGTCCTTACGTCTGCCCTTTACTAGTTCCATAACTCCCTTGGTTTCTCTCTTTCTTTCCTCTCCTTCCCTCATTTCCTTCTCTCTGTCCATCTGTTTCTTTCCTACTTCCCTCATTTCCTTTTGTCTCTCCACCCCTTCATCCTTCTCTTCCTCCAGTCCATCCTTCTATCCATCCCTACCTCCTCACCTCCATCTCTCTGCTTTCCAGCCTTATGTCTGTCCATTTTTCCTCCTGTCCTTCCCTTCCCTCTGTTCCATCCATCCTCCTGTCGATTCTCCCTTTCCCCATTTCCCCTGGGGTGCTCACCCGCACTTCTGTGAAGGAGGATGAACCACAGGGTCTCCCATCATTCTTCCTCTACCTCACCTTCCTCCTCCTGTTCATCCCCTGTTCCTCATCCAGACATGAGGTTCCGGGGATATCCCCTCACTCTGTTCCTCCCCCTTAGCTCTAGTCTGACCCGATTCCTCCATCCTGCCTTGGCCGCGCCATGGAGAATGAGCAGCTCCCAGCTCCGGCTCCTGCCAGCAGCGCCAGTGGCACGGCCCCAACGCCCGCCAGCACCACAGCCACGCGTCCGCCCGGGCCCCAGATCTCCGTCTACAGCGGCATCCCTGACCGCCAGACCGTGCAGGTATGGGGCTGGGGGACACTGGAAGGTTGGGGGGCACCGGGGGCGTCGTGGCACAGCCTGGGGCCACATTTCCCCTCCAAAGGTCATCCAGCAGGCGCTGCACCGGCAGCCCAACACGGCAGCACAGTACCTGCAGCAGATGTACGCGGCACAGCAGCAGCACCTCATGCTGCAGACGGCTGCACTCCAGCAGCAGCACCTCACCAGCGCCCAGCTCCAGAGCCTGGCCGCTGTTCAGCAGGTATGGGCAACCCGTGGGAACTGGGAGTCCCTTGAGACTGGCACACCCCTCACCTTTGGCTTTTCTTCAAGGCAAGCCTGGCGGCAAACCGGCAAAGCGGCTCCTCAGGGGGCAATGGCACCCAGCCAGCCCCGGCACAGCAGCCCACGGTGAGTCCCTCAGCCTCTTGGCACTCACCTTGCCCACGCCCTCCTGTGCCAACACCCCGACCTTCTCCTGATGCCCCATTCCAGATCAACCTGGCGACGTCGCCGGCGGCGGCACAGCTGCTAAACCGGGCACAGAGTGTGGCGCCTGGGGCGTCAGGCATCGCTCAACAGGCTGTACTGCTGGGCAACACTGCCTCACCTGCCCTCACTGCCAGCCAAGCCCAGATGTACCTGCGGGCACAGATGGTAAGGGTGGGACTGGGACATGGCATGCCTCAGCATCCTAATAGGGTGCCCAGGACCATTAGGGTGTCCATCATCCTGTTGTGGGGTGACCAGGACCCACAGAGTGCCCATGGCTGTACTATGACCCTGTAAGAGTGCTCATTGCTCTGCGTGGCATACCCGGGACCCATGGGGAATCCATAGGGTGCCCAGAGCCCATGGGGGCCTCCACAATCCTGGGGTCCGAGGACCCCACAGGGTGCCCATCACCCTGCTGTGAGGTGTGTAGACTTCATGAAGTGCCTTCACTCTGCTGAGGGAACCTAGTCCCCGTATAGGGTGCTCCTCATCCAATTGGGGATGCCCAAACCCCACTGGGCACCCAGAGCCTCATTGGGGGTGCCCAAGCAGGTGCTCTTTGCCTCTGAAGGGGTGTTGGGACCCTAGAGGGTGTCCTCCACCCCACTGGGCATGCCTGTTCCTACCCTACATAGATAGAGAGATACCCATGTGCCACCCTGTAGGGACACAGAGGAGGGACACACGGGGTATGCCACCCCTGACATGGTGAGCCGTGCACCCACTCTCCCTGTCCCCAGCTCATCTTCACGCCCACGGGCCCCGTCAGCACTGTCCGGCCTGAGAGCCCTGCGCCGGCCCCTCCACCGGCCCCGCCACCTGCCCCACCACCCACCACCCCTCAGGTGAGTCTCCCCACCCCTGCCAGCCCCCCAAAATCTGCCCTGGCACCCCTGACCCACTGCCGTTGCAGGTGCACAGCCTGGCCCTGCGCCCCGCCGGCCCCCACCTCCCCGCCCTGGCCATGAAGCCCCCTGGGGGTGCCCCTCCCCGGGCTGGCCCCCCCCGGGGGCCCCCGCCCGACCCCCCCGCCGAGCACCTCAAAAAGGCCGAGGGGCACGAGGGCCGCACCCATGCCCTGGCCCGCGCCACCGCCCCTGCTGCCACCCACCCGCTCGTCACCCCAGGTAAGGGGCTGCTCTGGGGCAGGGGACACAGGGGGAGTCGCAGGCTATTCATTCTGAAACCTAGTAATGGCCCACACTGGTGCGTCCTGTACGTTGTCACCTGCCTGAACAATGGGTCCATCCCCTCCCTGGCAGGGGCCCTGCCCGGGAGAGTCTAAGCACCCGTAGGATCCCAGGGTCCTGTGGGGTGCAGGGGGCTGGGGCAGTGAGGGTGTGAGCCAGGGGACTCCATGGACTGCTGGAGCCTGGGATGCTGCACTGGCATGGCTCCCAAAATTGGAGACGCCCCTCAGGACAGCCTGAGTGCAGCTTCCCACATCAGCAGCGGGAGCTGGCAAAACTGATTGTCCAAGGGCACCAGAGGGAACAGATACAGTGAGCAGCAGCCTCCTTGAGGGGGATCCTGGGGGGTGGGCCCTTGAGGCTGAGGTGCTGGTGATGAGGGGGGGATCTCTGTCCCCATTGCTGTCCCTGCAGCCTATGCCCCGCTGCAGCCCCCCCAGTTCATGCAGCAGCCGCCGAAGCCGATGCAGTCGCAGCCTCCACCGCAGCAGCAGCAGCAGCAGTTTGTCATCCAGCAGCAGCAGCAGCACCAGCTGGGCCCTCGTGGGCAGCCCCCCTCGGGCCCCCCCACCGCCCCCCAGCTCCAGCCCCTGCCCCCTGCTAGCCCTGGCCCAGCCCCCCAACCCAAAACGGGGGTCCCCCAGGGAGCAGGGGGCGAGGGCGGCCCCCCTAATGGGCACCCTGGCTGCCACGCTGCCCCCCGCAAGTTCCAGCACGCCTCGGCTGTCATCCTGCAGCTGCAGCCCGCCGGCCCCACGGTGAGGGGGCCCCGCAGACCTCCCCCCAAACCTTCATGATGAGGGGTCCCCAAACATCCCCCAAAGCCTTTCCAAGCCTCCCACCAAACTTCACCCAAGCCCTCTTGGGGAGGGGCCCCCAAACCTTCCCCCAGACCCTTAGGATGAGTGGCCTCCAAACCTCAAATCTCCCACCAAAGCACCCCAAACCACCCACCAAACCCCTATGGTGAGAGGCCTCCAAACCACCCTGCAGACCTCCCAGCAACTCCCCCCAAACTCTCACAGTAAGGGGCCCCCAAGCCCCTTGGTGGGGGGAGCTCAGGGGAGGGAAGGAGGAATGCGGGCACTGGAGTGGGAGTGGGGGATGTTGGGGGATCAGATGTGTGCACATGCACGTGGGTGTGTAAGTGCACAATCCCTGCACACGTGTGCATATGCGTTCCTGAAATGTGCATGGGGCCCAGTTGTCACGTCAGTCTGCAGGTGTACAGGTGTGCACGCTCAGGCCACACTGCATGTGTGTACCTGCTCCATGCACATTTGTGTGCACAGGTTTGCCCCATCCCTGGCACTTACGTGTCTGTGTGTACCTGGCCTGTGACATGGGGAGCATGTGGCTGATCCGTGTGTGTGTGTGTGTGTGTGCATATGTGTATGATCCTTGTATGTCTGACCCATGCACATGCGTACTGGACCCATACACGTGTGTGCACAGCTCCCAGATGCATGCCCATGCATGTGTGCACATTTGCATCTGTGTCTGCTCCCCGCACGTGTGTGTACTCGCTCCAGGTTCATGCATGTGCATCTACACGTGTCAGAGCCATGTGTGTGCCTGGTCCATGCACGAGTGCTGACATGCCTGCCTGACCCGTGTGTGTGCACATGTGCTCAGTCCACGTGTGTGTGGCCTGTGCATGTGTGCAACAGTCACGCCAGATCCATGCAGGTGTGTATTTGTGGGGGTGTGCATGCGCTGCATGCATGTCTTTGCAAATGTGCATGCCAGATCAGGTGTGTCTGGAGGACACGTGCCCGACTGTAACACATGTGTGTGCATGTGCATGCCTGCTCTAGGCACACGCTTGTGTGTGACCCACGCACAAGTGTGCACACTCTAGTCATGCAGGTGCATGCTCCTGTGCCACCTGCATACGCACCTGCCCTGACCCCCTCCCGTACGTGTGCATACCTGACCCTGCCCCACGCGTGTCCCTGCCACCACAGCCCTCCCTCGGGGTCCTCGAGGGCGCCCGCCGGGACCCGCTGCCCGTGCCGAGGAGCACCGAGAGCCCGTCTGCCGCCCCGCCGCAGCCCCCCGCCCTCTCGCCGCCCGTCGCCCCCCCGGGCCCCGACACCCCCGAGGGCGAGCGGCCCCTCACGCACGGTAAGTCCCCGCCCCGCTCCCACAGGCACCCACTCATGGGGTGATGCACCCCCAACCCCCGCAACAGGCGGACGTTGAGGCCGGGGCTGCGCGGGGCCGTGCTGTGCTGCGGAGAGGACCCTCAGCCCAATCATTTCCGCGGAGTCACCCACGGTTGACACGGGAGTGCGGCGCCCGCCGCTGCCGGTGGGAGGGGCGCGGGCGCTTCGGCCTCACACGAAGCGGGCGCCCGGGGGACGGGGGCGTGGCCACGCACCATTCTGGAGGCGCGGCTCTGGCGCGAGGGCTGGGGAGGCGTGGCCACATCTGGAGGCTCCGCCCCAGCCGCGTGAGGGGTGCGACCGCGGTGGGGGCGTGATCAAGCCTGCGCGGTCACGCCCCTTGCCGGGGAGACTCCGCCCCCTATGGCGGAGGCGCGGGAGGCGGGGTCCTGCGGGGGGGCGTGTCCGCTCTCCGAGGCTCCGGGCGCGCGCGGCGGCAGCGCCCGCCAATGGGTGCGCGGGGGGCGTGTCCGCACCAGGCCCCGCCACCGCCATCGCCTTTGTCCCTGCTCGGCCCTGGTCCCGCTCCCGGCGCCGCTCCCGCTGCAGCCCCGGCCCGACCCCCCCGCCATGGCCCCCCCGACCCCCTGAGCGCCCGGTGAGTGAGCGCCGACTGCAGGGGCCCGGCTCGGCCCGGGCGGCGGCGGTGGCAGTGGCTCTGACCTCACTTCCGCATCCGCCCCCGGCCTCGGCCCGGCCCCGCGGCCCGGCCGAGGGAGGGGCGGGGGCAGCGGTAGCCGCCGCCGCCGGACAAAGGTGATGGGGCTGCCGGGGCCTGCGCGGCCTGAGGGTTCCGCCGGGCCGAGGCGGCCTCAAGGGGAGAGGAGCCGGGCGGGCTGGGCTGGGGGCTGTTGGGCCTCACTGGGCTGTGCTGTGGCTTTACTGGAGTTTACCGGGGTTTATTGGGATCTTTCGGGCGTAGGTCGGGCCCTGCTGCGGCTTTTTTGGCATGTGTTGGGACCTTAGTGGAGTAGTTCGGGTTTTTTGGGGGTCGTACTGGGCTTTGCTGAGGGAGATCGGCGCTTTTCGGGGTTAATCGAGCGTTGTTAGGGCCTTACTGGGGGAGATTGGGGCTTTCCGGGGGAGATCGAGCCCTGTTGGGACTGTACTGGGGCAGATGCGGCCTTACTGGTGCCTTACAGCGACGCACTGAGGCTTTGCTGCTCCATCCTGGGGTCTCTGGGGAATGTCCTGACCCCTCCGGTTATTTTGGGGGGCTCTTTAATCTCCTTTCGCAGCCCCTCAAGGACCGCTCGGGGCACTCTGGGCGGCACTGGTGGCACTGGGAGCGGCAGCAGCTGCTCCCCGTTCCAGCTGTATGGAAATCGCGGCCCCGCGTCAACGCGGCGTCAGCGCCCGCCCCTCACCCCGCGTGTCCCCCGCTGTCCCCAGAGCCCCCCGAGCGCCTCCATGCGCAGCCCCGCATTCCCGGGATGACCTCGGGCTCCGGCAGCGCTGCCGCCACCGTCGCCGGTGCCGCCCCCCACAATGGTGAGAACAAACCGCCCCAGGCCATCGTGAAACCCCAGATCCTCACGCACGTCATCGAGGGCTTCGTCATCCAGGAGGGCGCCGAGCCCTTCCCGGTAACGTATCCCGCTCTCCCAGAGCCGGGGATTGGGGGCGCTGAGAAGGTTCATGGATTTGGGGTGTTGGGAATGCGGCACACAGTCGGGCTTGAATCCCCGAATCCTCCCCTGCTTCGTCATCCAGGAAAGGGCTGAGCTCTTCCCGGTAACATGTCCCACAATCTGTAGTTTTACCCCACGATTTGGGGCTCTGGATCGTTACGCATGTTATTGAGAGTTTTGTCATTCAGGAAGGGGCTGAGCCCTTCCCAGTAACATATCCCAGTGTCCATGTTCCTGAATTTGGGAGGTTGGGAATGGCACATCCAATCATGACCCCCCAAATCCTCCAGCAGTGCTTTGAGGGCTTCATGATTAAGAATAAGGCAAAAATGTTCCTGGTATGGTATCCCCCCATTCCTACCCCTATTTCTGGGGCAGAAGGATGTTGAAAATAGGGCATCCAGGCCCTTGTGAACCCCTGGATCTTCCCCCACATCACTGAGCTTTTTGTCATTCAGGAAGGGACTGAGCTTTTCTTGGTAACATGTCCACCAATCCATATCCTTATCTCTGGATTTGTGTGTGTGGGAGGGGGGCTCCTGTCTCCTGTATTTGGGGGATTAGGAATGGGGCACTCAGACAATTGTGAACCCCCAAGTTGTCACACACATTATTGAGCAATTCATTGTCCAGGAAGGGGCAGAACCATTCCTGGTAATGTATCCCCTTTCCCTATCCTTGCTTCTGGATTTGAGGGCTTGGGAATGGGGCACCCATGCCATTGTGAATCCCCAAATCCTCACATTTTTGAGTTCCTTATTGAGCAGAAAGGGGCTGAGCCGTTCCCAATAATGTATCTCTCTCTACCTGTCCTTGTTCCTGGATGTGGAAAGTTGGGAAGAGGGCTCCTGTGTTTGGGGGGTTGGGAATGGGGCACCCAGACAATCATGAACCCCCAAGTCGTCACCCACGTTATTGAGCATTTCCATCATCTGGGAAGAGACAGAACTGTTCCCGGTAACGTATCTGTTGTCCTTCCTGGAGCTGAGGGATTGGGAAGAGGGCATTGGGATTTGGCGGGTTGGGAGTGGGTCGCTTTGACAGTTATGAACCCCCAAACCTCTGCCCTTGCTGTTGAGCACTTCAGCATCTAGAAAGGGGTGGAATCGTTCCTGGAAACACAAAATTCTCTCAAAGAATAGTTAGACCCAAAATCCACACCCATGTCACCATCATCCAGGAAGGTGCAGATCTGTACTTGGTAACACATCCCCCTCTCCTTACCCTCATCCCTGGCTGTGGGAGATTGGGATGGTTCCTGCCAGCCCCGTGGCCACAGGAAGGAGTTCATGTGGCGTTGGGGCACAGGTGCAGCCAGGTGTGTTGCGCAGGTGGGCCGCTCCTCGCTGCTGGTGGGGGCCCTGCACAAGCAGTATGCGCAGGAGCTGCTTCCGGAAAAGCTCCCAGCACAGGACAACACCACCACCACTGACTCGGACATGGAGGAGCCGTACCTGCAAGGTAGCGCCCGGGCCCCCGGCCCACCCAGCCCCCTGGGAGCCCCCCGGGATTTCCCCTGGAGTCCCCCGGCTGAGCTGGCTGGTTTCTCTCTCTGGGTGTCCCTCCACGCCCCCCAGAATCCAAAGAGGAGGGGAATCCCCCCAAGTTGAAGTGTGAGCTCTGTGGCCGCGTTGACTTCGCCTACAAGTTCAAGCGCTCCAAGCGCTTCTGCTCCATGGCCTGTGCCAAGAGGTAACCCTGAAAACCCACCCATCCCCTTCTTGGTGGGGTAGAGGTAACACCAAAATCCACGCAGGCCCCTCCTCAGCAGGATAGAGGTAGCCCCAAAATCCACCCAAGCTGGGTAGAAGCAACCCCAAAACCCACCTGACAGAGCAGACGTAACACCAAAACCCATCTGGACCCTCTTCAGTGGAGTAGAGGTACCCTGAAATCTACTTGGCAGAGTAGAGGTAACCCCAGAAATCCACCTGGGGTGGTGGGAGTAACCCCAAAATCCATTCAACAAGAGTGGAGAAAACCCCAGAAATCCACCTGTCAAGGTAAAGGTAACCTGAAAATCCATTCAGCGTGGAAGGAGTAGCACCAGAAAATCCACCCAGTGGTGAAAAGGTCTACCAAAATCTACCTAGGGTGGGGTGGGGTTAACCCCAAAATCCACCCCCCTGCTCTTCTTTGGTAGGGTAGAGGTATCCCCAAAATTTCCCTGGTGGAGCAGGGACCACTTCATGACCCATGGTTCTGTGGCAGGTACAATGTGGGCTGCACGAAGAGGGTGGGGTTGTTCCACCCAGATCGCAGCAAACTCCAGAAACCAGGAGGGCCCCCCCACGGGCGGCGCCGCAGCTGCAAAGGGACCCTGCCCTCCCTGAGCAAGGACAGCAAGAAACAGGTGAGGGGGCGGACATAAGTTTGTCCCCAGCTGGGGCACATGGCATTAGCACTGAGGCCAGGGTTTGTCCCCAGCTGGGTGGGCTTTGGGGCTGGAATTTTTTCCCGATTTTGGGGATGTGGGGAGGGCACCAAGCCTTGGGTTTGTCCGTGAATTTTGGGAACATAGGGTGGGCACTGAGCGCAGGATTGAGGTTTTGGCCCCAGCTGGGGGGGATATGAGGTGGGTGGTGAGCTTGGGTTTTGTCCCTGAGTTTTGGGGACAGGGGGCGGGTGCTGAGGCCAACGCTGCCTCCGCAGCCCCCGGGGTCTGTCCCAGCGGGGTCGGTGACGGCGTCGTTGCAGCTCAACCACAGCCAGGAGGATTCCAGCCGCTGCTCTGACAACTCCAGCTACGAGGAGCCACTGTCACCCATCTCTGCCAGCTCCTCCACATCCCGGCGCCGACAAGGAGAGCGGGATCTGGAGCTGCGGGACATGGAGCTGCCGGATGTGCATGGCCGCGACCTGCCTGGCCTTGGCCACCGCTTCCTGCCCAGCGAGCCCAGCAAGTGGAATGTGGAGGATGTTTACGAGTTCATCCGCTCGCTGCCGGGTGAGAAATGTCCTTGGATGGACAGGGAGGAATCTACCTATGGATACCCAGAAGTATGGTTTTGGGAAGACTTATGTCCCTCAGGACGTGTTCAAGGGGGGGATCTACTCAAAGATAAACCCAGAATTGTGGTTTTTGGGGGAGATATATTCACAGAGAACCCCCCTAAATATATTTTTGAATAAGATTTACACACAGATAATCCCATAAATATATTTTTGGGGGATGATTTACTCACAGATAACTCCATAAATTCTTGGAGGGGGGAAGATTCTACTCACAAACCCATGAATATTTTGGTGGAGCGGGGGGATTTACTCACAGATACATCTAAAGGATAATGGGGGAAGGGGATTTACATATGATAACTCTCTAAATACATTTTTCGGGGTATTTAAGCACAGAGAAGCCCCTAACTGTATTTTTGGGAGCTCTGAGAGGGTTTGCTGATGCTGCCCCTCACCACAGGCTGCCAGGAGATCGCAGAGGAGTTCCGGGCACAGGAGATTGATGGGCAGGCGCTGCTGCTGCTCAAGGAGGATCATCTCATGAGCACCATGAACATCAAGCTGGGGCCTGCGCTTAAGATCTATGCCCGCATCAACATGCTTAAGGACTCCTGAGGGGGGTGCCACAGTACCCCACTCCCCCCGCGGGACCTCTGACCCTCCCGGGACCCCCGCAGGACCCCTGACCTCCCACGCGGCCCCGTGGAGGGGACAAGACGGGGAAGACACTTGTGAGCACACCCTGCCCCTCCTGCCCCCCCCCGGGGGTGTAAATAGCCCATAGCTCTAGAGTCCCGTCCCGTCCCGTCCCCCTTCTCCAGCAGGGAGGGGGGGGGGGGGGGTCCCCATGTGTTCCCCTGTGTTCCCCCCCGAAGTCAGCAGAGCCAAGCAGGACGGTTGCCTTAACGTGTACTCCCTCCCCTATCTGGGATTGGGGCCCCCAGGGAGGTTTGGACTTCCCTCCCAAAGGGGGTCAGGGAGAGGTGGGGGGCGTGGAGGAGGCGTCACCCCCCCCCATTCACACACCCCCACACACTGGGCTGTTTTGGGGGCACCTTAGCAGAGGACAGTGGTGAGGAGCCCCCTTAGACAGGTAAGGACCCCCCCACTCCCTTCTCAGCCAGCACGGTCTTTTTAAGAAAAGGAAAAAACATTGAAAAAAAACACGGCCTCACCCCCCCCTTTTCCTGTTTTTTGTTTTTGTTTTTAATAAACACTGAAAAAAAACCTTGGGACCCTCACAGTTTTCTTCACTTCCCAATCCCAAACTTCTTCTCATGTAAACTGAGGCAGCAACTCGGGGATGTCTCCAAGTGCTACTGTGGATGGTGGGACTTCCTGTGGGCAATGGGGAGAGGATTGTCCTGGGGACAGGGTTGGTGTTGTGCTACCTGTGTGACCCTGGGGATCCCTGCTGCCCCCCACGCTGGGAGGTGAGGGTGATGTTCTCCCAGGAACCTGTGGTGATAGTGGGACCCTCCACAACTCCAGGTGACCTCCAAGTCCCAGTGCTTAGGGGGACACAGGGTACTGAAGTAGGTGAGGTGGGGAGGGGGACATGGTGGCATGTCCTTGGAGATGATCCTAGAGGAAGTAACATCCCTGGAGCTGGTGGGCCTGGTGAGGGGTCCCTGCATGTAGCATCTGTATTGAGATGTCCCCAGAGCTGTTGGACATGGAGATGGTACCCACTGTGACATGTCCCTGAGGCTGGTGGCTACAGTGTGGTGACCCTAGAGCTGTAGCCACAATGAGGTGTCCCTGGAGGTGGCGACAGGTTGCTGGAGGGTCCCCAGGTGGCCACACTGAGGCCTCACCAGAGTTCGTGGCCATGCTGAGGTATCCCAGGCCACATTGAGATGTCTCCAGCAGTGGTGGCCACAGTGGATTGTCCCCAGAGCTGGCGTCCCCAGCAGTGGGTGACTCACAACCCCCACCAGGACCAGGAGCCACCACCTTCCCCTTGAGACACCAGTGACTGGTGTGTGCCGGTCACCAGGCACTGTGCCACCCCCTTCCCTGGGGAAACTCTGGGGACAATGCCAAGGATGACCCACAGCTTCACCCTCCCCTTCTGCAGCCCCTCAGGGACCAACATCCCCACAGGGGAGTCCTCTCCCCTCATCCTTCCCCTCCCCGCCAAACACAACCCCCAGTTTCATTAATTCCTGTTTTGGTCTTTTTTTGTTCTCTTTTATTCTCTTTTTTTGGAAAGGGGCTGGGCTAGAGGGGGTTTCATTCCTTTTCCACACTGTGAGGCCGTGACCCCTCCAGCTTCTCCAGGAACCACAATGTAGGACGGGAGGGGGGTGGCGACAACAGGGAGAGGGGCAATTGTTTGTCCATTTTCTCCTCTTTTTTTTTTTTTTTTCTTCCCCTTTTTTAATAAGGTACCAACTAGCTCTAGGGAGGCTGGCCTGGCTGGACAGCGAGGAAAATAAAAAAGCCCCAAAATTTGGGGGAAGGAGAGAAAAAAGGGGGGGGTCTAAGTGTATAAGAGGCGTATTTACACAGTATTAACATGCTGACAAAAAAGGTTACAATATTGATATCATACAACATCGAGGGGAGAAATAATGGGAAGGGTAAAAAATAAGGGGGTGGAGAGCAAAAATAATAGGGGGGTAAAAAATAACGGGGGTTTAAAAATTAATAAAAGGTAAATAAAACACCCTGGAAAAAAAACAACAAAAAACCCCAAAGAAACGCTGAGTTAAGGCTTAAAAAGTGTATAAAAAATAACACAGTTAATATCCAAAATGAACCAAAAAGTACAGAATTATATAGATGAGTTTGGGGGGAGTGCCCCCCGGCTCTATACAGGGGGTATGTACAGGCAGGCACAAGGCAAAGCAGGGTGACCCCCCGAACCCCCCAAAACTGGGGCTGTGGAATGGGGGGGGCCGTCCCCGGGGGACGCAGCTCTGCCCGCGGCTTCGCCGTCGAAAGGGACCCCAAAAGAACACAAAAAAAACCCCAAAATGGTTAAAAATCAACCCCAAATGGAGGCGCTTGGGCCCAGAGTCTGTGGAGTGGGGGGTAGCAGGACTTCCCCCCTCCCCCAGCTGCTTTTTGCTCCATCCACGGTTCGTTTTTGGGGTGAATTTCTGGTCTTTAGCAGCACCAAATTCTTGGCCAATAAATATATATATATATTTGTATCCAAAAATGGGGGGCGGGGCCTGGCAGGGGGACACCCCCACCCCTACTGCCACCCCCAAAGAAACCAAACCGCAGAGATTCAAAGTGCTCTGAAACCGTCTTTGGATGTCACCAAACCTGCGGGAGCCAGGCAGGAGCACGGCCCGGGGCACAGCCCGCGGTGCTGGGGGTCACGTCCTCCTCCTCCTTCTCCTCCTCCTCCTCTTCCTCCTTCTCTTCTTCCTCCTCCTTATGCTGGGGGGGGTCCTGTCCCCTTCCCGCTTAGATGAGGGAGATCCGTACAGGAATGCCGGGCGACTCCGTCCGCTGCGGCGAGTGCTGGCTGACCAGGTGCTCAACCACCGTGTGTTTGGACATGTGCTTCATCAGATAGGTCTCCTGTGGGGGGACACAGGGGTGAGCTGGGGGCTGGGGGCTGGGGGCAGGTTTTGGGGCATCCTCCATGCTCACCGAGGTGTAGGCACGGCCACACATGCTGCAGCAATAGGCCTTGGCGTGCTTGATGGCGTGTGCAGACAAGTGGATCTGCAGCGAGGCCGAGTCCGTGTACGCCCGGTAGCAGTTGGGGCACTTGTAGGGCTTATCCTTGTTGTGCTGGCGCTGGTGGGACTGAGGGAACAGAGGGAGTCAAGGAGGGACTATGGTGACCCTGAGCCCCCTGCCCTGGGTCCCCCCACACTGACCTGGAGGTTGGAGAGCTGGGTGAAGGCCTTCTCGCAGCCGGGGTGCGGGCACTTGTAGGGTCTGTCACCGGTGTGGATTCTGGGGACACATGCACCGGGTCATTGTCACCTCCCCTTCCACCACCAGGGAGAGTGCTGGTCCCATCCATGGGGTCACATTGGAATGGGGGGTTACAGTGGGCACAGCGACACCAGTGCCCCAGGAAGTGACAGGGGAGAAGGAGGGAGGCATAGGGCTGAGAGATGGGGGTTGGGAGAGGATGGAAGTGCTGGAAATTGTGAAGGTAGTTGGATGATGGGTGTGGAGGACATGGACTGGCACGCATGGACAGATGACCATGTGGGATCATGAAGGTGGTGGGGGCATGGCAGGGATGAAGAAAGTGGTGGGAAAAAGCACAGTGGAGATGGCTGAGCATGCTGGGGGCAATAAAGGTAATGAAGATGATGAGCATGGTGGTGATAGTGAATGTGGTCGGAAAGAAGGTAGTGGAGACAATGGAGGTACTGGAGACTATGAAGGTGATGGAGATGTTGAGCTCAGTGGGGATAATGAAGGCTGTGGAGTCAGAGTGGCATGATGGGGATAATGAAGGTAGTGGAGATGATGAGCATGACTGAGCCCATAGAAGTGCTGAAAATTATGAGTGTGGTGGGGATGACAAAGACAATGGGGACAGCCATTGTGAAGGGGAATTGATGAGCACAGTGGGAGTGATGACTGTGGTAGAGATTATGAAAGTGTTGGAGATGTTGGCAGCAGGACCAACAAACAGAGCAGGGCCATAAAGGATGTCAGGAGAGATTGTTGAGTGTGGAGTGCCTGCCTGCCCCTTTGCCCAGCCAGAGGGAACAAGTGTCACCAACCCCTCGGTGCAGCCCTTACCGGGTGTGCTGCTGGAGGTGGGAGAGCTGGCGGAAGGACTTCTCACAGTAGGAGCAGTGGTAGGGCTTGACGCCCAGGTGGATGCGCAGGTGCTGGGCCAGGTAGGAGGCATTGGCGAAGGACTTGGAGCAGTGGGGGCACTTGTGGGGCTTGGCCTCTGTGTGCGACTTGGAGTGGATCTGCATCTCCGACTTGGTGAAGAACGTCAAGGGGCAGACCTTACACCTGGAGGGTGTGGGGGAGAACCCCGCAGGGACCGGGCTGGGGTGGGGGGGCTCCCCGCCATCGCCCTAGCCCCCACAGCAGGCGGGGATGTGCCTACCTGTATGTCTTCCCCTCTTTGGCCGTCTCCCCTGAGGCCAGGATAGGGTAGGGCACCACCAGCACTGGCGGTCCCGAAGGGTTTTCCGCCTTTATCTTTTTGCGGCCCCGCTCAGCCTTGGGTGCTCCCAGCAAGCCGTGGCCCTGGATTGTCTTGATGGAGTCGAGGAGGGGGGGGCTGGTGATTCCTGAGATTAGGGTGGGCGAGGAGGCGATGAGACGGCTTTGACTGGTGGATGTGGGGGTCGAGGGGGTGGTGGTCCCCGTTCCTGGGCTGGATTCCGAGGTGCTGACAGCTGGTGCACGGGACGCCAGCCCCAGCCCTAGTGGGCAACGTGACAGAGTATTAGTTTTGAGAGGACTCACATCTGCCTCTGCCCCCAGACTGGTGGTACCTGTGATGGTACCTGTGACGGTGCTGGTGGCTGGCCGGGCGTGCAGGGCCACGTCAGGCTGGGGAACGGCCTGGGGGTGCAGCCCTGGCACCTGCTGCAGCTTTGGCAGGGACATGATGGACTGGCTGCTCTCAGCAGGTGATGGGGGCACCAGAAGAGGCTGCTGCGAGGCCACCGAGGTGGGAGGCAGGTGCGGGGGGCGGATCTTCTCCGCCATCAACTGCTCCTTGATTTTGTTGATCAGGACTAGGTTGTCCAGCTGAGGGGGGAGAAGGCAGAGAGGTGAGTGAGAGCAGAAGACCTGGGACCCTTGGGGCCTCCAGCCTCCCCCTCAGCGTTCTCTACATCCATTCATCCTCCCTCCTCCCAAGATCTCAGTGCAGGGGTCCTACCTGGCTGGGCATGGTGGGGGGGGGAGGCCAGAAGTAGGGGTTGTTGAAGCGAGGCTCCGCCATCCTGGGGAAAGAGGAGGGCGGTTATGGGGCATCACTGGCTGCCACACGGGCCCACCGCCCTTCCACCTTGAACTCCCCAAAACAAACCATCACCGTCCCAAGAAGCAAGACCCAGACTCTGAGCAAAGGTAGGGAGCAGGTTGGGGGGGGGGGGGCAGGGGTGCGGGACCCCCTAAACATCTTCAAAATTCCTGTAGGATTAGGGGGACACCAAGCACCCCGCCTGCCTCCAACATCACAAAACACTGGTTAGTGCACTAGGACACTATTTGGAAAAGAGGAAGCTGAAATTTGGGGAAAACCCCCAAATCTCCCAAGTTCTGGAAGGATTTCTCCCATCCAGGAAGGGATTAGAGGTGGATGGGACACTGCCATGGGAGAGGGTGAGCACAGCAGCACATTGAATCCAACAGCAATCCCAGCCGAATACCCCCCCTCCAAAATATGCCTCCAAAGCCAAGTGAAGAGCTTGCGACACCCAGGAGCAGCTCGATAGGAACACCAGGAACCAGCAGGGCTGGGAGATTTATGAAGATGCTTGAAGGCGTTGGGAAAATTAATTCTAAATCCATCTTTGGGTAATGGGAAACAGCAGCAAGAGGATGATCTGAGCAGAGCAGCCCAGCATGACCAGGAATCACCATCCCAACAAATCCCATTATGGGGGCATGAGGGTAAGCATCTATAAGACCCCAATGGGATGTATGGGAGGGGGGCCCCAGGAGCTCTGGTTCCAAAATAAACCAGGCCATGGCCAGGATTCCAGAGAAGCTAGATGCAAAGTGCATCCCCAAAAGCTTTGGGGTGGCAGGATTTGGAGATTATAAGCTTTCCTCCACTTCCTCCTCCTTCTCCTCCTCCTCACACTCGCTGCCCCAGGTTTCAAACACACTCTGAGCTCCCCACAGGCAGGTGGGCAGCACCCAGAGAAAGGGAATCCTGGTCCCACCAGAATGTAACATCCCAACAGCTACCCCAGCCTGAAGAAGCTGTGGGATGGACCACCCCCATTTTGGGGGGAAATCAAGGCAGGGAGGAAGGAACCACCTGCCCCTTGCACTATGGAGCAGCCTGGCACAGGACAAGATGTGTTCCAAGGTATCAAGGAATGGGAGCAATTTCTCATGGCAAACCTCAACGCCACAGCCTGTCCAGGACACCACCCAGACATCAGCTGTGGGAATTCCCATTCCCAGTCTTGAACCACTCCAGGTCACCTCCCGGCTGCTCAAGCACCAAATTTGAGGGTTTTGAAGTGATAGCAGGTCCGGATCCCAGCAGCACAGGCGGAGGCAAAGTCTCGCTCCATGCCACAGAACAGGAATTCGCTGGGGATGGTAAATGCACCTTCCCATGCACGGACGCAGCTGCTGCCAGCTATTTTGTGTAATTATGTATGTACCCACAGGCCGCCCACAGCGTGCATTTACCCTCTGGCTACGTGTGTGTGTATATATATACACACACATATATAAGATCTCTCGAGATGATGGGCATGCGATGAGGGATGCCAGTGCCAGCATGAGGGGCTGGACACTGGGAACCAGGGACAAAAGCGGAGCTGGCAGCAGGGAATCCCTTGTATAGAGACAGGCAGGGAGCAGGAGCTCAGGCAGGAGGTGTCTGAGCCCCCTTGGCATGACCAAGCACCCCTGAACCAATCCGCCATCCCAGAGCAGCCGTGGGAAAACAGGAAACTGGAGCTATGATTAGAAAAGGGTTTTTTGGAGCTGATCCCCCATCTCAGCAGGTGCCCCGTGACCTCTGTCCTTCCCATCCGTCCATCTGTCCATCCTTCTCCCTGTCCCAATAGCATGCTGGGCTCCAGTGGAGCCAGCAGCAGCACCCAGATGGATCAAAGCCCCCAGCGTGGCCCCAAACCATCACCAGGACATGGCACCAACCTCAACACCAGACCCAGGATCCTTCCTGCAAAGCTGGAGGGGGCTGGAAAGGCACAAAGGGTATTTCGGGGAGAAAAGCATAAATATCACGTGTTTCCCTACCCCCACCTGAGAAGGGCTTACTAAAGAAATGAGAAATTATTTGTAAAACCACCACACTCAGAGCTGGATGAACAAGAGGGAAGAAATGGTCGGCGTTGCCAAAATAATTATAAAAATCCCTGATCCTGTCCCGATTTAATTTTACAAATTGTGCAGTGTTTCGTCGGGAGTGGCATCCTCTTCTCTGGGGCTGGGAAACAGAGTGGGAAGGGGAAGAAAGCAGATGGAAAAAAAAATATACATATAAAAACTCCCTTTTTCTCTATTCTCAGCTAACTATGAAAAATGGAAGCTGACATGCAGCAAAGGTGGGAAAAAAAGAAAATCCATTAAAATGGAAATTATGAAGGGTAGGGAATGCTGCAGCACGTCTCCCCCCGGCTCAGCAGGGCACGGGGGGGTGTGGTAGGGCTCTCTGTGCCCCTCCAGCTTTTGGATGGGCAGGGGGAACCGCCCCTTGGGTAACATCTCCACTGGCGTGGGGTCCTGTGCTCCAAACCATGGTGAGAAGAGCCTCTGACATCCTCCACAGGCACCAAATTTGGCTGCTGAGGGGCTGTCAAAGGTTATCCCCAGGGACAAGGTGGGTGCCCAAAGCATGGTGGAGACCCAAGTAGCCCAGCCAGAGGAGAGGGATGTGGAAAGAGCAAGCAGGAAGATGCACAGAGCCCCAAAACCATGGGCTGAACCCCAAATTCCCCAGAACAGCACAGGACCCGGCATCACCGCTCAGCCGGGTCAAGGGGGGAAGCAGCAGCACCCTAAAAAGAGACCAAGCCTCCTCGCCTCCGCACCCACGGGGAGGGAAGAGCGGGAGAAGCCGGCAAGCCAGGGCTGGGGTGGCGAGGGGAGAGCGAGGGCAGTGGCAGCGAGGGGGCGGCGGTGCCGGGGCCGTCGGGGTCAGCAGTGGTTGGTACTCACAGGGTGGCCTCTGGAGCCAGGTGGGCGCAGCTGCCTGGGGAGACGTGTCGCTGAGGCTCCAGATTGATGGGAGGTAGATGATGGCACGGGTGGGCACGAGCTCACTAGAGCCTTCCAACTTCCTACCCAACTGCCGCTAAGTCAAGCTACAGTTCTCTAGGGAACGCCTCTACCTTGGCAGCCCTCTCTGTCTCGCCTTCGCTGAAATAAAAAGAAACAAGAGATTTCTTTTCACGCCACCGCCGAGAGAAAAGGGGCAGCTCCCAGGGACTGGCGAGCAACCACCGATCTGGTACAGCCTGAAATTGGGGGGTCTGGGAGGCGAGGGGAGGGATTCGGGGTGACCAGAGAAGCACTTGGTAGCTAAATGCGTCCTCGACCCAACAAGACACTGAGTTTGGTGTCCCCAAGTATCCCAGCAAGAGCATCAGGGCAGAGGTCCCACCCCCTGTGCCAAGCGGCGAGTGCAGGAAAGCCAGCGGCGGCCAGAGACGGCGCATGGGGGAGAACCAAGCCGGGAGATGGATGTCCCCTGTGCGTTCCCCCACCCAAATCCCAGCACGTCCTTCCCAAAACAGGCCAGACGCTGGCCTGGGCATGCCTCTGGGCCAGGGAACCCAGCTCTGCCTTGCACCATGCCTCAGTTTCCCCCCCTAGAACACAATGCCATAGCCCCTGTCCCCTCTCAAGAACAGGTTTCCCTGGAGTTCACCTGGAGCAGGAGGAGTTTTGGAGGGAAAGCAAGTGCCCATCCACAAAACCTGCATCCCAAAGCCACCAAAGGGTAGGAACCAGCATCTAGCACCATCCCTCCCCGCCCAGATTGTCCTCATCCAGGAGGGATTCACCCCAAGGCAAAGGGGGCAGAAGGCAGGCATGGCTGCGAAGCAGGAACGCCGGGTGAGCCCCCTGTGGCTCGGGGAGGGGGTGGCCCGCACACCACAAGAATTCACCCAAGATGGAACCAATTAAACCCCTGGATTCCGCCCCTCAAAGGGCCCTGGGCTGGGGCTTCTCCTTCCGCATTTCCAGCAAAACCAACCCAAAATGAGCCCCCAGCCTGGACTGAAGGTCCCTGCAAAGGAAAAGGGGTGCGCGGGGCAGGGTGAGGAGCCAAGCACCAGGGGCAAGCAGGAGGGGAGGTGAAGCCATGCTGGAGACCCCCGCGGGGTCCCCAGCTCGGGCGTGGAGGAGGGGGAACCAGGGTGGCAACACTCCCAAAAGATGGGGGCCAAGGCAGTGTGACCCCAAATCGTTTGGGTCCAGTGACCCGGCAGAGGGGACACGGAGACAGCCTGCAGGGAGACTCAGAGCCCATGGGGTGACACACCAGACACAGGGCGCACATGCCCCGCAAAACACACCACTCCCCAGCCTGGGGGGGTCCTGCTGCCCCAGACCCCAAATACCCACCCCCACAAAAGAGCCCAGACAGCACCCTGCAAGGCAAAGGCAGCACCATAAACCAGCCTGGGGTCAACTGCCCACCCCCAGCAGCACGGGGGGGTCACTCATGGGTGACAGCACGCAGGGAAACTGAGGCACAGGCAGGGGATTGCCCTCAGGAGGGAGTGAGAGCACCGGATACAACATGCACTTGTTGTGACATCGCGCCCAATGACCAAAAATCCACATTTTAAGGGAAAAAGCAGAAGGTGGAGGGGTTGAAGGTGAACGTTATTATTTTATGCATATTAAAGCACATTTCTTAAATATCAAGGGGTCACATATACACTGGGAGCAGGGTCCTCTCCCCGCAGAGGGGACAGGCAAGGAGTCCCTCACACCCCCAAAATACCCCCAAAAATACCATGTCCCTGCTTATATAGAAATATATATATATCCACATATAATACCTAGATTCTGATGTGCATATATATATATGTTATTTTCATATGCAATTACATGCATGCACATCATTACTTTAGATGCTATTTTAAGATATAAATGTAAAAAAGCAGGGATTTTTTTCATCCCTGTGATCCTCTCGATCCAGCCATCATGCCCACCTCTGCGAGTACTGGCGTTGCTTCCCCTTATCCGCGTCCATCTCCAGCTCTAGCTGAGACCGGGTGCTGCACGTGGGGCGTTTTTCTACGGGGGGACAAGGAGGAGGACAACTTCACACACCCCGAACCCCCCGCCAGCCCCCGGCGCGCGAGATCCCACAGCGGAGGAACAAAAGCGAAGTGGCTCCGACCTACCCGACCCGTGGGAACGTGGGGTTTTGCCTGAAAATAGAGAGAAAACAACAACCAAAAAAAAAACCAAAAACCAAAAAAACAAAAAAA